AACACATTCACAGAGATTGAAGCCTCTGGTGGAAACTTGAAAGCACCTAAAAGACTTTTCGTTGGGTGTTTTTATTTTGTTTCTGCCGTACTCATATCGGGCAGCTTTGCGCCCTTGCATCCTGGAGACATGATGGCGTGTTTACAACTAAAATCTCCTCCGACTTTTGTTCTCGCTCAAAAAGTGACTCTTTGTGCTAGGGAAACAAGAAAAACACCATAGTAAACCGGAACTCTACCTCTATAAAGATAGCTAAGTGAAACTTCTGATGATAGTAAAAGTAGAAGCCTCCCACGGCAACGAAACAAACACCCCCGTGGCGGTCGCATTCGGGCACTATAGGGATGAGCGGGGGTCACCGGCGCGGGCGCATACGGGCGCTGTAAGTGCGAAACGGTTAATTAAGAAACAAGAAAATAAAAGAAATATTTTATTATAACAATTTAAGAAAAAAAATTTTTTTTTGGGGTGCAGCGGCATACCCTTTCATATCATTTCTATTTCTCCAGCACAGAATCAGTTGGTGGGTTGTGTATTAGTCATACCAGTGCTGAGAATAAGGTTCCATCTCAGTTGCGCTCACTTTTAAGTTTGAGTTAAAAGTGTTCCCACACTGAATCGCCATCGAACAAAAAACAGAAGCAACATGGTTTTAATCTCGAAAAGTAAAGGACTAAGTGTTCTAACTTTTGTATATGGTATAGAGGGAGTAACGGGGGGAGTCTTAGATGTTCGTATTTCAAACACTAAAAATTTAGTTATTCTAAGGTCGGGATTTGTCATTCTCCTAAATTGGGAACCCATTACCCCTTTCTTAAATACGGTTTACCCAGCCAGGTCAGTATAATTGTTGCCTTGCTCCTCTTTACTCATAATCACACTCAGATACTTGTATACACTCATGCAGAGATATTTTCTGTCCTGTGTAATAGTATTTGTTCTCTTGTCTTGCATGGTGTAACTTTTGTTTTTCTGAGGATGTGTAAGGGAAAAGTGTGTGTTTATATGAGTGTGCACATGTGCTTGTGTATGTGTGTGCATGTTCTTTGGTGTGTTTGTGTGTGTGTGTGTATGTGGTGATACACCAAGTCAATGTGCCAGGATCTGGACTGTAAAAATGTATCTCATCTCATCTTTTTTCAGGAACTACAGCGTCGCTGTAACACGCTGATCACGTTGATTGAACGAGAGAACATGGAGCTGGAGGAGAGAGAGAAGGCGGAGAGAAAGAAGAAGGGAGGAAAGTCGGGCACCCCCAAGGGTGGCAAGCGCAAGGCCGAGGTGACGCCCAACAAGCCCAGCGGCAAGAAGAAAAAGACGGCGTAAAGAGGACAGATGTTCTGTGTGTTGATGATATATTTAGTGTGAAAGGGCAGCAGTTGATAATAAATGGATATGGCGATGGGGAATTGCCCTCTGGGTGTACAGATCTGGAAGAACAGTTGGAATTGTGTCTAAGATGACCCACCCATTGTCGAAGAGAAAAGTTGTCGTCTTGTACAGATGGATGTTTTGGACAGTGTCATTACATTTTGTAAAAGGACACGAGGGGTGGAGTGGAACCTGGTCGTTTGTACTGAAGTTGTTGTCTCGTACAAATAGACATTAGAGCAGGTTTGAATGTTTTTTGGCAGGCCAGGAATGTTTCATTAATATTTTTTTTGGGTTTTTGTCATAACGAAGAACAAAATTATTTTGAATTCTGAGACTTGAGGCTAAAACATATTGCCTGTATATTTTTATACGTTCTTGGTGGTGACAAATCGGAGTGCGAAATTGTTGTTTGCCTTGAGACTTAGAGAGAGAGAGAGAGACGCTTGTTTCCATTGTGTCTAGATTTGATGTGCCCCCAATAGCCTGATAGGTTATTTTCTTGAACCGTCGTGACGGGAGACATTTGAATTCCCAAGTTTTGACTGTGAACTGTTTTGCACAGCCCTGCTATAGAAGGTTACAAGACCAAGACTTGTACTGGTGTCGAGTCAAGAGTGATTCTGTCCAGAATTGTTTTTGCTTTTGTGTGAGATTTTTAAACTAAACATTTCTTTGGGCAATGGGAATTTTCCTGTCTATCGTGTCTTGTTGTTTGACCTCGGTGGATCAATGCAGCAGTAGCACATCTTTGAAAAAAGAAAATGCATCGTCTTCTACCAGATTGAATTCTCGTAGGAATTCCACTCTTGCTTATGGTAGAAACCCAAAATTGTTTGTCCTCTCCACTCTTGGCAGTTGAATTGGAATTTGTGGCTGAATAGGAACTCTGTCCCGCTGGTCTATTGTGGAGGAAAATGGATGGACGTGTGAAGGGAGAGTGGGAAAATCTCGAACCCAGCACTGTGGGCAGCAGCTTCTGGAAGTCTCATCTGCTGCAGACACTGACTTGTCGGGGGAGATTTTCGGCCGAAGGGCTCGAACTACTCAGATGGCCGCTGGATCAGAGAAATAAATAAAACTCAAGGGAGACGAAGAATGTTCGTGCAATCATTGTGTGGATGCTCTGGTGTTGACCTGCTACAATGTACTCCAGACGAGTGGTTGACAGGTGCTCAGGTGTGGTCAGCCCCTCATGTTTTACTCACAAGTGGTAGTCCTACTGTTGACTGTCCTTTCTAATGCCGGGCGGAATGTGGCTGTTGAGTTGGTCACACCGACTCGCTGTGAGCACCATAAGTGTAAGATTTCACTGAGCTGCAGCAATTTAAGATGTATGATCTTTTTGGAGGGGGGGGGAGGGTACATTTTTATTCAATCATTACAGTGAGTCATGTTATCACCGGATATCCTTCATTGTGTGGGATCATTTCTCATCTCACTTTCATTCATTCTGTATATATATATAAAGTTTACTCTGTGCGTTCTGCTATGATGTCCATAGTAGTTCAAATATCATTGTGTCTTCTGAGTTGATGTTTTCTGTACTGCTGGATGGATGTTTTGTTTTTCATTTTATCAAAAATAATTTTGGTTGATGTTTGAGTCTGTTTAAACTTCAATCATGTGACCAAATTTTTGTTTCGTGGTCTAAAAGTTTGACTTCTTTATTGTTTCAGAATTTGTTACCGTGCACTTTTCTAATCATTGCTAATTTCTGTAGGTCATTCCTTCTCCCTTGGTCCCTCTCACTGATTTCGCAAGGAATCGGGAAGCCAGTGATGCTGAATCATCAGTTTATGGGTGGAGTTACTTATTATGTGTATGTTGTGGAGAGGTTGCATACAGTAAATTATCTCTTTACTTGGACCTGATGTTGTTTAAGGAGGGGGGCAGGAATGGATTATATTTGCATATTTTTATAGGCGTCGTTTTTAGCATTGTTTTTATGGGGTTGAATGTGAACTGAGATTTGCATCATTGTCTTCTCTTTGCGTTGAGAAATTTGAGGCAGCGTGGTGGAATCAGGCTCTCGTCAATTTTTGGGCATGTAGAGTCGTCTTAAAGCTTGTTCAGTTGTCTTTATTTGAATAAAAAAAATGTCCATTTATCTTGAATACAAGGTGAGATATTTGCGAATGAAGGAGGTGGGGGTCACCTGTTTTCAGAGGTAAAATTAGTGAGAAAATGGCTGTCAAAGATTAGTTATTTCCTTAGCTTTAGAGTCCATGGTAACTGAAAATTTACATTTTTTGTGCCTTTAATGAACGTTTTTAAGAAAAATCCATACCGAAATGAGTTCTTTAATGGGCATGGAAGGTGTTGAGCCAAAAAACAAAAATTTGATAAAAATTCACAAACCTGTGGAAAAATGCAAGTTTCTTCACTTTGATTATTTTGACGAGAGCCTGATTCCACCACGCTGCCTCACAAATTCCTCGTGGCTATGTCCAATAGGTGGTTAGTGGAGACTTATTTTAAAAGACAGTATATATATATATCCAGTTTGTAAAATGTTCAGGAGAGTTTAAAAAACCCCCACCCCCAACATCTTTGCCTCTCAACAGCCTGTCGCTTTGAATATGTTCAAAACGCTCTCTTGTAACACCTCTCTCTCTCGCTCTCTCTGTCTGTCACTCTCTCTCATTCTCCCTCTCTCTCTCTCTCTCTCTCCGTCTCTCTCTCTCCGTCTCTCTCTCTCCGTCTCTCTCTCTCTGTCACTCTCTCGCACTCTCCCTCTCTCTCTCTGTCTCCGTCCGTCTCTCACTCACTCTCAGCCTGTTTGTTTGTCATGTCATATCTCTTTCTTTCCAATCTACATTTGCTATCATTTTCCTTGTTTGTGTCATAAATCTTCATCAGTGTGATGAGGGGAATAAAACACAATGTACATAGATAGAACGTATGTTTATGTATGTGACATTCAGGCCAAGAACTGAATCAACCTGTATTTTCTGTTGTGATTGTAAATACACTTTTATTTTGATATCGTGACAGAATTTTTGTCTCTAGTCTTGCAGTTTCTGTTGTAGTTGTAAAATTATTGTCCGGAAAAGACTAGCAACTACAGTGGAACTCGGATTCAACGAGGTCGCCTAGCCGGACCTAAAATCTCTTTGAATCCGAGTGTTCGTTATAATAGCAAACAAAACACGATGTGTTGTGTACGTCATTACTACAGGCACTGAGCTAGTAATTTATAAAGAGAAGTCACAAGTAGTGCCTGAAATGCCTGCATATATAATGAGCTGTGTAAAAAAAAAGTTGCCGAGGGGAGAAAAAGAAAAAGAATGTGACGCATTTGTATCTGCAACGTTCAACGCCCGGACGGCTAGTGCCGCCACCTCCCTCATCCCCGACACGCACACACACAGCCACACGTGTGCAGGCCGCCCATCCGACCTCGACACACACCAGAGTAGACACGTGTGCGTGCCGCAACAACGCATGTGTTGGTATGAAAAAAAGGCCTCTGATTGATTGCATGCAATTGGCTAAGTGAATAATGGTTCTCGAGGCAGGTACAATGGATGGTTTCCGGGAATAGATAGATTCGTTGTGGGAGGAAAATGAGCAAAACCACGTCTGCGGGGGCTGTTCACCCCGGAGGCGACCTCGTTGAATCCGAGCTTGCTGATTTAAGTGCTCGTTGAATCCGGGTTATTTTTATTGATTTTAAAGAAGAAGAAAAACGGGGAATCTATCTCATCTCGTTGAATCCGAGTTCCACTGTATCAGGGTTCCTGCGACCTCCTTGAATTCAAGGATTCCTCGAACACTCCTTGAATTTGCATTTAAGGACGGGTCTCCTAGAAAACTTTGTGAATTTTAGGAAACTCCTTGAATTTCGCCGGATTGGACATGAACAAAATTTTTGTTGGACTGCTCTTGGCACGCCAAATTTCTTAGTAAAATATCCTTGAATTAAAAAAATTTCTCTTTGAAATCTCCTTGAATTTGGTGGGGAGTTCATGGCAGGAACCTTGGACTAAATGTGCTTCTTGTCCGTTTTTCATTTCTTCAGAGCCTCAGCTCGGTCCGACGTTTTGTCCTTGGGAAAGGCGCTTTACATAAAATTCCCATTTAGCCCAGTCCTATCGGAGATGGACATTAAACTCAGAGGCCCCGCCCCGCCCCTTAAATAACGTAGTAATAGTGTTGATAGGTGTTGGTGTTAAACCCATACCATGTCACCATTTTCGCCATTTCCTCAGAAAAGTTTTTTTTCAGGCTTTCTGGTGTTGTTGGCTCCTTCTTAACTATCACTATCAACTAACATCTATAGTCCTTATCTTGCCTCCTTCTTTTCTTTGTATGTCGCTCTCAAGTTTGCGGGTGGTTGGTGGGTGGGTGCACTGTGGTGTGGTTCTTTTCTTTGTATGTCGCTATCAAGTTTGCGGGTGGTTGGTGGGTGGGTGCACTGTGGTGTGGTTTACTCATTCCTTCCTATCAAACATCTATCTTCCTTATATCTCTGCTTATTCTTTTTTGTGTATGTCGCTCTCTTGTAACACATGATCTATTCTTCGGCACTTATATGACCGTGCTTGTATTGTGTTGCAAGTGTTGTAAAACTCTCATTGAAACGGTCATATCATCAGTACCGAAGATAAGAGGTGTGTTTAGGTGTAGATATTACCTACCATAAGATCATGGGTGTGGCTGAACGACAGCAGTAAGAAGAAGGAGCCAAGGAGTCGCAGTAGATAGGCTGCAGAAAAAGTCAGGAGCCCAGAGGAGGGGGCAAAGGAGGTGAGGGGGGTGGGGTGCAGAAAATGGAGACGAAAGCAGACGACTGAACTTAGTTAAAGAGCACGAAAGGATGTAGAAGGAGAAGATTTTAGAGTAGAAATTTTATGCCGCTATCCGGATTCGAACCCGGGACCTATTGAATGAGAGGCGAACACCTTTACGGGAATACCTTTTGGCCACGATAGCCCCCTTCTGTCTCTGTGTTAATATTATGTGTACTACTACTGTACGTGATACTCTCGTTATGTGAATAGAAAATAATAATAATAGATAGCATTTGTATAGCGCATATCCCCGCTCAACAGCAGTCTCTGTGCGGCCAGTGCGCTTTACACTATATTATTACCCCAGCAGACCACAGAACAGTCAGAAACATTCTCAGCTTCCCGGGAAGCATACAGTGCAAGCAGCTGATTAAGCGCTCAAACACTAACAAACTGACAAGATCTTTCG